GTATGGGGTGAGAAACCTCCCCATTGCCTTCCTCCCTCCCCACCACAGCACGATTCGGAGGAAATCCCTGAAGGAAAGCTTCACCTTGCATCCTTCTTCCTGCTCCAGCACATATTCTGATGACCAACCAGCAATCCTACAGCAAGGGGGTTGCCAGGCTGCTGCTCTCTGCTCTGAAGAGCTTTAGGCTCTCGGCCCATCTTCTCAGTTCAAATACAGATGAAAAAGGAGATGCAGCTGGTCTTAAGGGCTGCGTCTGTGCCTGTGGGATATCAACCCTGTTGTTTGCAACCCAAAGCTGCTGAGGTAAAACAGGCCAGAACAAAAAGAAAGAACTATATTAGAATCAGATGTATGTAGATAAACGTGATCAAAAGATACAACGCTTTAATTGATACTATGACAAACCTTACAAACATCACGAGGCAAGCTCATTTACTGCTCTGTGATTTAATACAGAAGCACCTGTGTTATGGCTAAGCTCTCCGAGCTTTCTTCTGTGCCATGTCTTCCAGAGATTCAGAAAGCACAAAAACTAGACAGTGTTTTCCTCATTCCATCACTCCAGGTCAAGTAAATATGAGGGTGTTTGAATGGGGAAGGAATATTACTTTTATAAAGAGTGTCAATTCTGGCAGTTGGCTACCAACAAAAAGATACACAATTACTGCACTCCTATTTGCAAATTTCCTTTTGGAAAGGAGTTTATTAACTTCATCCCTTAAAACTAATTTCGACCCAAACTTGGCATGCAAGTCTGAGGTCTGGAAGGAAAATGATTTTTCAGGATTAGAACTAATGCATTCAGGTATTTCTTCTTGTTTAGAGGTGACAAGAACAAATAACAGGAAAACACACGCAAAGCTGGAACTTTTGCAATGCTCACCTTGCTTGCACTCCCCTCAGATTTTATGGCAGGTTCTTTTTTCCCTCTTCTTTTTTCCCTGTATGTATTACCACCTAAGATCTTTGAACTCTTAAGGAATATAGTACCTAGTGCACTGTTAGCAAGATATAAGTAATAAAAATATATCAATTTTACAGATATAAGTAATCAAAAGCAGTACTTCAGACAATCCCTGCCCCACACTCGGTGCTTCAGGGAAGTTAAGTCTGTGGAAGAAAATCACTGCAGGCTTTTCCAATAAGAGATAAACTGTGTACCAAATCCATAGGCACAAAGAGGAGAAGCTTTTTTTTTTTTTTTTTCTTTTTTTTTCCTATAGTAGAACAGGGTGCAGAGTTTAACTCCATAATAATGAGAACCTAATATAACCTTCCATCTGGCCATTAACGGTAGTGCACCTTTCAGTGAAGCTGAGCTACTGATGACTCCCGTGTCTTGGTGCAAGAGCCTGGGGGGGGGGGGCAAACAAACCACAAAACGCAGATATCTTGATCTATTTAAAACTTTCCGGAAGAAAAAAGCTTTCAGAGAGAAAGTAGGAAGATGACAGCCTCACTTGACTCAGCCTCATCTGCCCCGCTTCCACCACGCATGGACCAGGGAGTGACCTTCAGAGCAGCAGAAGGAGCTTCTGAGCCTGAGAGGAAGCCGAGGAGAAGCACAGCCCACCCGGCGCAGGGGACTGCAGCAGCTGGGTCTAGTCCAAATGGGTGTCATGATACTGATTTCAGACTTTTAAACCGCTCCTGGGCAAAAAGGGGTATGGCAGCCAGCTTCCAGAGAGGAATGGAGAAAACCTTATGGTGCCAGAGGCAGATAAAATTCCTGAAATGCACCTGGAATCTGGCACAGGCCTGCCATCCATCCATCCATCCATCCATGCATCCAGGACAGCAGTCAGTGGTCAAAGCAGCCCATGCAAGGCTGTTATTCCCATGGAACTCACACCCATCCCCAACGCCCTTATTTTTATACACATATATATACATGCCTTGAAACAAAAGCTTGTCTTCCTCCTGCCCCCCCGATTTGCTCTCTGGTTCTTTTGTATACACCAAAATAAGAGTTGACTCATAAACTATAATGACACGTACCAGGCACTTTTGTATATTAACTGATGCGTCCCATGAGCAACGTCCTTGAGGCTCCTTGGCTGTAACATACCTTCTGCTGTAATCAATTTGTAAGTGCAAACTGTTCTGAATCTCATTATTTATTGCCCGTCTAATGTCTGCCTTACCGTATATTGAGCTTATTTCACTTTAAGTGAGCTAAAAATGACAACTGCCTCTCACAGTGAATATGTATATTCCCCTGGTTTGTACACGGTTACTGTAGTTTGGCAAATCACCTTTTTGTTCACCTATGACTTGGAGTCAGAGCTCCTTAGCAAAGTATTTGACATCATAAAGGCACTTTTACGTTAGACCGATGTCATTTGTCATTATCTCTTACAGATATCAGAATCACTTTACCAGAGCAGACTAAAGGTTTCCTCAACCTGGTATCCAATCAGGAGCACTTAAAATGACCCAGTCCTTCAGAAGAAAACATAACTCCTAATAATAAACCTAATTGTATTATATTAGCATCAGTAATGGCTTTTTTTTTTCCCAATTCAGCATCTAATGTACAAAATCTGAGTGTTAAGATTCTGCCATCTCATCATTGTTTACTGCGACATCAGGAGGTGGCATGTCCACAATTGCCCAACCAGCCCACCTTTTAGGCCAAGTTGTTTTCCACAGCAGCCAAGTCCCATCCCTCATCCTTCGCATGAGAAAGATCTCCTTGGTTTTAACTGTTAGGCTTTTTTTTTTTTTTCCCCACCCCTGCATCACAAGATCTCTTTCTCCATCCTGAGAGCCTCCATCCTCTCCCATGACCTTGGAAAAGGGGAATCCTAAAGCAGCTCCCAGCTTGGGGATGGGTGGCAATGTCTCTTGTGCCGGCGTTGAGCCTGAGCAGGTTTTGCTGTGGCTGCACAGGGGTTACCTGGGGGTGCCACCAGCTGTGTGGCCAGACACCCACATGGGAGCCACGTGGAGCTGGGGGGGAGTTAGTCACTCAGCCAAGACAAACCCTCGAGTCGCAGCATCACCCTACCTCCTCTGCTACCCAAAGCTTGGCGCGTAAAGGAAATGCCACCTTCCCTGCCCGAGAGCATTGGTTTTGAGCCCCTCCTTCACCAAAACTTTGCTGGAAAGGATGCAATATTCACAGTGATACCGCACTACCGCAATGCTGCTTTCTTGGTTGCTACTCGCAGCCCAAACCAGCTCCACGTTGTCTCTTGGGCAACATTTAAACAGCATTGTCCAAGCCCCTGTCTGAGGCTCTGCCGGGCAGAGCTCCCCAGCAGAGGCTGCAGCGTGGTTTCCAGCCGGCAGAGCCCAAGGCAGAGGGGCACCCAGTGGCAGAACAGGTTCTCCCTCCCTCCCCGACTCCTTTTCTCCCTCGCCTTCAGGACAGCAAAACTTTACCGTCCAGCGTTCAGGCGCCGCCGCATCTCTCGTGCTGCATTAGTTGGACCACGGCGAGAGCGGCGAGCCCACACGTCAGGAAACCAGGGCAATCCCTCTCCCTGACTCTCCTCCTGGCATCTTCCCAAGGGGGGAGGGGAGAAGGAGTTAAAATCATTACAAAAAGAACGAGCGCTGCCAAGCTAAAAATCCTCCGGCCTTGCAAAGCTCTTCTTTACCCTAGAAGGGAAAGCCGTCTAAAACATGTATTTTTAAATACACATGTAGGCCGACTGTTTTAACCATACAAACATCTGCCAACTAGTGCCATGTCTGGATTGCTCATGCTTTACTACGATGTTCTAACACTCGTGCTGAAAAACAAACTGCTAGGAAATAGCTGAATTTAAGCAAAAGTATCCTTAAAGCTGAGAGAAAAATTTCTGTTTCTAGAAAACAAAAACCCCAAACATCAAAAAATCCCTAGATCTGATGGCAATCATACAAAGTGAAATTTCAGTATAAAGAGATGTCTACAAAACTTGGCATTTCAGTGCCTGAGAAGAAAACTTCATACATTATGGAAGGACATACGTATTTATTAAATGGCTATCCTCTGTGATATGCACATTGTATTGTAACCAGTAAGTACACTTTTAACATTAGAACATGATATAGACACCCAGTTCCGAGGCACATTACTTCAGCAAATGGAAAAAAAAAAAAGCAGAAAGAAATCAGTACAATTTGGGTAACAAAACCAATTAATTCTTAGTATCCAAGTAGGATTACAGAGGAAAGAAAGTAACGCAAGTGATGGGGGAGGCAAGTATCCCAGACCTATTGGGAGGGAGAGAAAAGAGCTCCCCACGGTACATCAAGATACTTCCCGAAAAAAGCAAGTCATTCCTAGGCTGTGCTCCAACCCCCATGAATCGCTGCCTGCAACGCAACCATGACTGGATCTTCTCAGATTTTGTTAAAGGGCCACTGCCCTTCACGCCAGCATTCTCACAGAGCAACCGGACTGTCCGGTTGGGAACAGCTTACCCAAAACTCAGGCCGTGTAAGGTGCAGTTAATATGGTCATTCATCCGTTTTAGATATGCTGAGTTATTATCACTACATAATTGCTCCCTCTGGAAAATTTAAAAAAAAAAAAAGCCACAAAAACCCTCTCTTGCACATACAGATTTCTCTGTTTAGTAAGGCAGCTCTGGAAATAACTTAGAAGAACAACAGAAGAATCCCAGGTATTAAAAATATCATTTAATTAAAGAAAAGTAAATCATACCAAAAAGTTTTAAGTCACTTTTAGTTAATACATTTGCATTTATTTTAGAATATACTCTACATCTGAGTAAAAAAAGTTTTAAATAAAACTCCAGTACATGTACAACCGTGGGACCCACCATCTGTCCCGCCACAGAGGGATGCTGGGTTCCCTCCGGGGCAACAGGAGCAATTTTATGCCAGTTTTGTCATGTTCATCGGCTTGTGTCGAGCCTCTTATCTGCCAGCTACGCCACCACCTCGCACACGTACGGGTTTTTCGGTCTCCAGACCGAACAATAAAAAAAAAAAAAAGAGGAGGGTGGGAAAAAATAATTAATAAACTAGTATTGATTAATTTACATCTCTCTCTCTCTCGCTTGTGCGTTGGTAGAAAACCGGCTGCAGTCCTGGGAGGTCGCAGGGAAGCCCCAGCCCCGGGGGCTCAGCCCTCCACCGCCGTGGCGGCAGCGCTGCCGGGCGGGGACGGGGACGCGCCGCTCCCGCCGCCACCGACGGAGCCGGGTGTCCCCTTCGCCCCGCTCCCCTCGCCCACCGCCCTCGCCCGCCGGCGGCTGCACCACCCCCCACTCGATGTCGTTGCGGATGGACTTGAGCAGCACGTAGTGGCTGTACATGTCCCGCCGGGAGAAGAAGGCGCCGGGGTCGCCGGGCGGCAGGGAGGCCTCCCGGGACGGGCAGACGGCGCCGGCGGCGTCCAGCTCCTCCAGCAGCAGCGGTACGTCGCGCAGCAGGCTGGGCACCATCACCGTCTGGTCCATGTTGTTGACGGCGCCGATGAAGCGGTTCATGGCGTTGAAGAGGGAGTACTTCTGGCTGTACGAGTCGCAGATCTGCATCATGCCGGCGGGCGGGCGGGCGAGCTCAAGACGAAGCGAGTCCGGATCGCGGGGATCCTCCTACAGCAGCGGCAGTGGCGGCGATCTCCTCCTCCTCCTCCGCTGCGGGTGGGCTGTGCGGCTGCTGGCGAGCAGAGTCCTGCGGGGAGGCGGTGGGCGCCGGGTTAGGGGTTGCTCACTCTCCTTCCTTCCTTCCCTCCCGCCTTCCTTCCCGCCTTCCCGTCCCCTCCCGCCGCCACCGCCTTTATCCCCGGCCCCATCTCCTTTTTTAGGCTTCCCCTCCCTTCGTTCTCCCTC